TTCCATTGAAAGTGGAAACCCCCTTTTTTCGGGTCTTTATTGTTAAAGGTGAGCTCCTCTCGTTTTTGGCCCGGGCTGCATGCAAACGCAACACATTTACTAGAATGCACGCTCGTGCGCGGTCATGGATCGCGTAAAGCCCTGACCCCATAGTTCTCCTTTAAGAGTCCAAGCAGTTTTATGAAAGCACACATCCCCAGCATCTCTTTAGATGTGAATCTCTACTGGTCCCTGGGTGGTGCCGATTGAAGCTGCGCACTCTGCTGAGTTGCTTGATCTGTAATTAGACACTCCGAGGAGAGGGCTATTGCATGCAAGCATGGGAGGCAGCGTTGCTTGGGAAGTACAAAGGTACCTTGCAAGTGAATAAGAAATGTTTATGGAAAGGAAATAAATGTGTTCAGATATAGGTGTGGATACATTTCTTAATGTGTGTTGATGTTGGTTTCCTTTGTAACTCTTAATGAAAGCCGCCATATTGCCATTTGTTTCCCCCTTGCCCACTCTACCACAAACTGGAAAAGGGTTTGGCTGGGAGAAGACTCCCCTAACTTTTTTTTTTTTTTTTGGTTCACAAGCGTTCGTCGAGCGTAGAACGCGCTACAAAACGTTCAGGTGTGAACGAGGGCTAAGAAAGTGCAGGGGCCTGGTGAGAACCCAGCTGATCCCCAAGTCCATGCGTGACTGTCACAGCCCCCTCCTGGCCCAATGATTTCCCTTCCCCCGCAGCTACACATCACAAAGGGGTGAAGAATGCCCCCTGCCGCAACTGATTGGGCCGGTGGGAAGTGTGTGTCCATCACCGTTTTGCATGAGCTTGGGTGAACTCTGGCAAGCTTGGCCATCAAGCCCCCTCCGCACATCCCTAGTGGTCAAGCATGGTCATCAGCGTAGTGCGCTTTTAAATGGCCGTAACAAGTTTTGGTTTATTGTTTTGTTGTTTGAAATGCCATGTTTTCCCGCCTTTTCTCTTGTTTTGGGTTTATAATCTTTTCTCCTTTTTTTTAACTTTCAGATGGTCTAGCCTGGAGCTCTTCCTTTTTGTTGTTTGGCTGCCCGCATGGATTGTTGCTCACCGAACGGCCCGGGATACAATATGTAGCAGAGGGCCGTCTCTAACCTGCATCCACTGCTTTCCGAGACCAGGGATTGTACCACGCCTTGCTTGCTTTCCACTCTTTGAGTTCATGAGGTTCTGGTCTTCCCGGCTTGCACCATGAGTACCAGCGTGGGAAAAGAGAAGGACCCCAAAGATAAAGAGCCGAAGGGGCACGCTACAGTAAAGGAGCCCAAGGCCTCGGGGGGCACTCTGAAAGAGGGCAAGGACCTTAAGACCAAAGTGAAAGATGCCAAAGAAGGGAAGAAGGACGCCGGCGGGGCGCAGCCCGGGGTGGCATTTTCCGTAGACAACACGATAAAACGTCCCAACCCAGCCGCCGGCATGCGCAAAAAGGCCAGCAACGCCGAGGTGATCAAGGAATTGAACAAATGCCGGGAGGAGAACTCTACTCGCTTGGACTTGGCCAAGAAGTCCATACACCAGCTCCCGGCCTCCATCAAGGAGCTGACGCAGCTATCGGAACTTTATTTATACGGTAACAAGCTGCCGTCGCTACCGGCAGAGGTGGGCTGCCTAGTGAACTTGGTGACGCTGGCTCTTAGCGAGAACTCTTTAACCAGCCTGCCGGACTCTTTGGACAACTTGAAGAAGCTGCGCATGCTCGACTTGCGGCATAACAAGCTGCGAGAGATCCCGCCGGTGGTGTATCGGCTCAGCTCGCTCACCACGCTGTTTTTGCGCTTTAACCGTCTCACTACTGTGGAGAAGGACATTAAAACCCTGACCAAGCTAACGATGCTGAGCATCCGGGAGAACAAGATCAAACAGTTGCCAGCGGAGATCGGTAAGGAGATGTTGGGGGTTATGCATGCGTTATATCAACCTGTCCTCTTCTGTCACCCTGTGTCACATAGGGATGCACCGATACCGGTTTTTCGGTATCGAGTACCGATATTTTTTTGTTTTTTTTTCCTGTGCTCGCCGATACCGAATACCGATACCGGAAGTCCCATTAAGAAAGCCAGATGGCATGATGTAAAGGCTCGCCACCCGGCTTCCTGATTAGCAGGGAAGCCGTCTCCGTGCTTCTCGTCATCTGATGACGAGAAGCAAGGGGGGCGGCTTTCTGGCCAATCAGGAAGCCAGGCGCCGTGTAATGATGCGACGCCCAGATACCTGATTGGCCGGGAGGCCGGCTCCATGCTGTCTCGTGACGGAGCATGAAGCCGGCTTCCCGGCCTTTCAGAGAGCCGGGAGTCGCCTCATTATACGGCGCCCGGCTTCGTGATTGGCCAGCTGCCTGACCAATCGGGGAAACCCGGCAGCGAGTCATTACACGCTGCCCGGCTTCCTGATTGCCTGGAAAGCCGGCTCTATGCTCCCTCATCACAAGTGATGAGGTAACATGGAGCCGGGAAGCCGGGCAGCGTGTAATGACTCGCTGCCAGGCTTTCTGATTGGCCGGGAAGCCGGCTAATGCTCCGTCACCTCACCCAAATGTTCGGCATCGACTCCAATACCAATACTAGTATCGGTGCATCCCTATTTAATGTGTAGCCAAAACTCTTGTCACATTGTTTGCTTTCTGCACCCCGTTGAGGAGAATTCACTTCCTGTCCTGGAGATATAACAGGAAGTGTAAAGAAATCTCTGGTATTCAGTTGTCACTGAAACAGGTATTCCCATTGGAAGGTTAATATAAACCGGACAAAGGTTCTGATCCTTCTGTACTCTATGCAAAGCTAAAAATAAAATGTTTTGGCTGTTCATACACTTTAAAGAAGAACTCTGGGGGGGGGGGGGACCACATTGCAAGGGCTAACTGCTCATTTTCATCTATGGACTAAAATAAAAGTTGTACGTGCCTGAACCTTGGAAGCGGCCGTTTGTCACAGTGCTTCCTCCTATGCTGCAGCCATGCTATGCCTGTTGGCATCCTCATGTCCTATGCACAGTGTATTGGATGTGTTGACTCGAGGATCCTTAGGCTGCAGCGCAGAGGGAGAGACCGGTTTACCAGCAAGCTGGCTGGAAGGAGCGCCGTCACAGCTGGCCAGGTCCGAGGATCGGGTACAACTTTATTTCCCTCCCTAGACCAAAACGAGCAGTTAACCCTTCCAAGGCAGGGGTAGCCCCACTGCAAAGGTTAATAATAATAACCCCCCCGGAGTTCTGCTTTAAGGTAAATGTTATAAAAATATATGAACAGCAATTGCACATACCCGTGCAGCAAAAATATACAATAGGAGTGGCGGACTTGTTCATACAAGCGTTCAGCCTCGAGGTATCGGGGAGAGGGAGAAGAGATAAGTGCATAGGAGAGCCAGAAGTAACAGTGTGTGTCAGATAGTGGAGGAGGAAGCAGTGCTGGATCAGTACTCTGTATATAGGGTGACAGTGGAGGAGGAAGCAGTGCTGGATCAGTAATCTGTATATAAGGTGATAGTGGAGGAGAAAGCAGTGCTGGATCAGTACTCTGTATATAGGGTGACAGTGGAGGAGGAAGCAGTGCTGGATCAGTAATCTGTATATAAGGTGACAGCGTGTGTCTTGTCAGATAGTGGAGGAGGAAGCAGTGCGGGATCAGTACTCTCTATATAAGGTGATAGTGGAGGAGGAAGCAGTGCTGGATCAGTAATCTGTATATAGGGTGACAGTGTGTGTCTTGTCAGAGGAGGAGGAAGCAGTGATGGATCAGTAATCTGTGTATAAGGTGACAGTGTGTGTCTTGTTAGATAGTGGAGGAGGAAGCAGTGCTGGATCAGTAATCTGTATATAAGGTGACAGTGTGCGTCTTGTCAGATAGCAGAGGAGGAAGCAGTGCTGGATCAGTAATCTGTATTTAGGGTTTAGCCGGAGCTCGGGTCTTCATATGTTTTCGGTGAGAATAAAGTTTGAGCTCCTCGAGTCATGTTCAGACATGTGAATAAAGCAATATGTGGATCTATGTTGTAAACAAGGAAGCGGCGCACGCATCGTATGCGAGGGAAGCAATCCCACTTCTTCCCGGTTTGTAGAGTTCATCTTTGTTCCGCCGATAAACATTCAGCAAATTCCTTTTAGTCTCCGCCCTCCATTGTGTCCCCGTATATAGGGACTGCGGGCGAGTATATAAAAGCTCATTCTAATACCCGGCTGTGCTCCGCGACACGTGACCTCCTCTCACTTCAGACATCGGAAGTACTCGCGGTGCGCCCAAATGACAGTTTTAGACTGAAACCGAAAAAAATTGTCAGGCCGAAACCCAAAATGACTTTTCCTTTCCAACCTTTTAAAAACATTTTTTCTTTTTTTTTGTTTTTTTGTTACTGTTCGGTGATTTGGGGAAATATTTGGGGGTTCAAACAGACCTCTGATATTTCCCTTGTAGAATAAAAAAAGAGATTGAGAACACTGTGTTCTCTTTTTCTGTGTCCCCTGTTCTCAATGGACATGAAGCCTCTGTACTGAGTGTTCCTCATCATTCATAACATGAGGATATAGTGCGTTTACTATATCTACAATCATGAATGAACAGGAAGTCCTCAGTACAGAGGCTTCCTGTTTATTCATAATCTGGAGATGGTAAATATTTAGTGTCATGAATGTACTGGAAGCCTCTGTACTGAGCTTCTTTCTGTTCGTTCATGAGCAGATAGTAAATATTTAATATGTCCCTATTCATAAGTGAAATGGAAGTGATGTAAAGCACCTCCTGTTCATTCCTAACTGGGGACATAGTAAGCTTACTATGTCCTCGGTTATCTACAAACAGTATTGACTGCTCAGTGTTTGTGCTGCGCTCTCCATCCTGACTGCTCCGCCCGTCACAGGAGCCAAGCTCTCCTCATCCCACTGCTCCGCTCTGCATCCTGACGGGTCTCTACTCCCCCGCACTGCCTTGCTCGGCATCCTGGCGGGTCTCTCCTCCCCGCACTGCCTTGCTCGGCATCCTGGCGGTGTCTCTCCTCCCCGCACTGCCTTGCTCTGCATCCTGGCGGGTCTCTCCTCCCCGCGCTGCCCTGCTCGGCATCCTGACGGGTCTCTTCTTCCCGCGCTGCCCTGCTCGGCATCCTGGCGGCTCTCTCTGCCCCGCTCGGCATCCTGGCGGCTCTCTCTTCCCCGCACTGCACCGCTGGGCATCCTGGCGGGTCTCTCCTCCCCCGCTCGGCATCCTGGCGGGTCTCTCCTCCCCGCACTGCCCCACATCCTGGCGGGTCTCTCCTCCCCGCACTGCCCCGCTCGGCATCCTGGCGGGTCTCTCCTCCCCGCACTGTCCCGCTAACTGGATTAGTTCTGTGTCCTTTCTGATCCCCGCTGCCTCTGCCGACACAGGTGGGGGAGAGCAGTGGGGATCGGAGGGGATGCACCTCATTTTCATCCATTTTTGCCCCTAGTACCATTTTCAGCTGAAATCTTTCGGCAGCCAAGATTTCAGGGAATCCCTAGTGGTTGCCTAACGTCTTTGTTTATATTGCTACACACTAATAGAAAGTGACGATCAGGCTTATAGTGTGCAAACCTGCAGCCCTGGAAGTTGAAGCACAGGAGGAAGTTCTAATGTCGGCTTCCTAGAAGGATGAGAACTCGGAGAGGGCAGAAATCATGGTTTACGTCCTCCCATATGCAGTCATATTGGACGGGGGGAGGGGGATGGACGCGCGTGGTGTTTGCTGGAGTACGAGTGGATTGCTTTTCTGCAGGTAAAGCCGTTCCAAAATGTGATTTCGGCTCCATGTTTATCTACTTGTCCAGCGTTGCCATTTAGCACGATGTGTTAACATTGCATCGGGCGCTGTCCACCGCTCTAGATTAAAAGGACGTATTGATAAATATTTACCCAGAGCATGGATGGGAAGAATTCTGTATTTGGCTGGCTGGCTCCAACCGCCGGCCATTATCTACACTTTGTTGGCTTTTATACCAGCGGCGGGGAAAGGATCGCCGAACCCAAGAGGCGGGAACACAAATTTAAAGTGATATTAAAGTCATGTTTTTTTTTTTTTCCCCCTCATTCTAATTCTGCTTTTAATACTTTGTGATGCCTCTTGCTGCGATCATCTCCTTCCCTCCAGCACCGGTGCCGGTTTCTGATCCAACGCAGACTCCTCCGTCTTCTGTGTCCCACGGAGTCGGCGTGCACGAGCGGTCCTGTATAATGCAGGCAGCGATTGCCGCGCAGCCCTATTGATTTCAATGGGGTGACATCCGCGCAGAAAAAGGTACAAGTACTTTTTTATGCGATAACGTGACGCGCGGCTGTTTTAGCTGAGATAGTGTTCGGAAGCGGAGGCGGCATCGCAGTGGGATACCGCGTGATCCGCCCGATGCGACTGGTGTGCCATTAGACAATAATGACACCCACCGCGCGATCGATTGACACCTTGGCGACTCCTAACCGCGCGGAATCGTGCACGATTGCCACGCGGTGAGGTATCACCTAGGTGTGAACCTAGCCTAAAGATGCCCATACACCTTACGACCATGGTCGTAAGCTTATTAAAAGCTCGTACGATCTGCCCATCTTGGACAGGCAGATCGTACTTGCGATCATCGAAAGCCTGCCCCGCTGAGGGGCGGGCTTCAGATGACCGCAATGCAGAACGGGCAGTGTGCGCGTGCCGACAATCGTATGATTATCGGCAGGTTTTCGAGCATGCTGGTTCGACAAAAGACGTGCAACCGTACAGTAAAAACGGTTGCATGTCTTCGTTCACACTGCTCGATTCTCGTACGATCGCGGGATTTCCTGCAATTCTCGTACGAGAATCGAGTAGTGTATGGGCACATTTTAGTGGTAATGTTGAGGGTCCCAACCACCAAAATAGCTCTGGTTATAGATGGACTCACTAAGGTAAGTATCCC